GGGCAGCGGCCGTTGGGGCAACCGCCGCCGGCAGGGTTTAAATCTGCCCCTTCAGAGGAGGTGCTTAAATGCCGAGCAGGCGTTTACCGTTGGTAACCCCCTGGTATTGTTCAAATGACACCTGCCCCTGCCTCTTCTGGAGATCTTCTGCTGTGGCTTCGCTCTCTGCATGGCTGGAAGGTAGTTTCTGAAAATTATTTCCCTTCCTGAAAATTATTTCCCCAGTCAGGTCGTCCTCATTTCAAGCGTAGCTGTGCTTCAGCTGAGGCCCTGCATCCTGGAGGAGAGGGCCGGGCAGCTGTCGTTTTTCGCTGCAGCTTGTGCGGCCCCTGCCACAGGATTTAATGTTTCTGAAGATGGAGACTGTTAAGGGAACAGGAGGGGGAATGAGCAGATCTGGGAGGGCTGGGGTTTGCACAGTGCCATGGTATGTACAACTTTATCCTCAGGAGTGGGAGCTCTGACACGTGCAGCCTGCGATGCAGGGAGAGACAAGAAAGAGGAGGTACGTTCATGAGTGACTGTGTTGAGGCCCCCATTTGGGACAAAGAAGCAGCGCTCTGAAGTTATGTGGTTGTCGCAGGTCAGCAAGGAATTAAACAGGTGATTTGTTATTCCTGGCAAGGAAGCATTTCAAAGCATTTCCCCAGCGTTTCCTACCCAAGATCACTCAAGTCTAACATTAAATTGTGTTGGGTGTTCTTCATGCAAAAATATGTGTCGGTAGCATCTCGGTGTCTTTTCTGGCTGATTGTCATCAGATGTTTTTGCATCCCACCAGGTTCCCACATGGATTCTGAGGAAGCTGCAATGTGAGGGCCCACGAGTGAGCAGATTAGTTATCAGCCGCTATTCCAGTCCTACCTGAGATGGAGGTAAGACTAAGGGAAACTGCTGCTGAATCAGGGATTGGGAAACCTTGCTTATATTCCTGTTTCTACTGCTGAGTGGTGAAATAACCTTGGGTAAATCATATCACCTTTTAAGGCCTTACCTTTCCTATTTGTAAAGCAAGGTTAATAGCAGTCCTTTACAAAGCGCTTAAAGACCTTTAAAGTTGGGTAATAGGATCTCTTATTACTGAATTGCTCCACAGCCTAAGAAGCCTCATTTTTTAACAACCATGTCCTGTTGGTTCTTTGTGAGTTTCAAGACATGAATTAATTTGCAAAGATGATTGCTTTTCTGTTTTTTTCAGTGTTGAGACAGCAGCGTGTATTTTCTTTAAGGTGAAGGAGGATTTTTAGCAGTTTTGCTATTAATTTTATATATTTTCTGTTTACTAAGATGGATAAATAAACAGATGGTTCATTCCCGTATAAGATTACAGCCAGATTTTTACAGGCTGTGAAGTAATCGTGCGTATAAATATTTTAAAAGTTTCTGTTTTTTTGTGTATGTGGAAATAGCTGCTTTACAAACAATAGGATTTTGTATCAGATTCCATTTCCATTCCAAATAGCAGCGCTTCCTGTGAAATATCATCAGTTGCTTTCCTCATCTGTATATTGTATATAATAAAACACTTCTCTAAGAAGAGAGACTTTCTCTGCACAGTGGCAATAAGCACCCTTACTTACCATGGAAAAGAAACGGAGCAAGGCAAATGCTTCTGAAAATCAGGCCATGGATTTGCCTGACGTTTCCACATCAGATCCGAGAATATTAATTTAGGAGAAGAGGGCTATCTTTTCCCTCTACCCAGGCTTATTTGGCTCAAGGGAATGTGAAGATACCCATTGGTTGACTAGATGCAAATTACAGACTTTGCTCCTATCTTCTACTCCAAAAACAAGAGCGACGGCAGCAGACGTAAGTGCTGAGGTCATGCAATGCTCTGAGCTGGTCTGTTTGTCTTATATCAGAAGGAAGCTACTGCCTTAGAAGAAATTTGTTTGCCTTACAAGGATTACTGAGATGGGATGTGATAAAAGTGCCCCATATGAGGAACAATGTAGGAAGGGTGACAGAGGTTTTTTCCTTGTTCCATCATCTGTGGAATATAACTTTCTCGTACATCGCATGCGGTAGTGATGGGACTCCTATCTTCAACTCCCTGCCCGTTGTGCTCTCCTTCATATTTCTGTCTTCATGGCTCAGTGCCCCACTCTCACTCCCAGGCGGTGCTGGTTAGCCTGATCTGTAACCCGTCCTCACAAGCTGTGCTCGGACTGTGAAGGCTCAGAGCAGGAGAGGCTCGTTTGTCAATAAAACAGCCCGATGTGTGGGTCCAATTGCGTCTCTGATCTTTAGGGAGGCCAGTACCATGCTGGTCATTTAGTAGTTTTCATAAACTGATTTGCAAGGAGCTATTTCTGTATTGTAATCGTCATCCTGTGACAGAGGTTCAGGTACATGCCTTTGTCCTGTGATGTCACACGGAGAAAGAAGGAAGCAGAGATGGCCACAAAGGAATACTCACTGGAACAGAACACACTTCAAAACTGCTGATCCCTAGAAGGGATAACAGTTGCTCTGTGAGAAGGCCTCTTCACATGGCACGTAATTAGGCTATGGAACTCTTTGCCACTAGATTATGTTGGGACCAAAACTCAGCAGGAGACAGAGAGAAGCAGCCCTCTTTGTCTAAGGTAATCAGATTCGTAATAGCTTAGGCTAAACATATTTTTTGAAGAAAATGTAAAAACTCATGGAATCAAGATGAAATCCAAATAAAAGGATGGGGAACAGATTTTTCTTCATCTATACAGTCCTACATCTTTCTCTGAGATGACTGTTGCTCTCTGAGTTGAAGCTGGGTGAAATACAAGTAAGAAAGTTCCTAGGTTTGACTGGGAAGTTATTCAGGTGCCAACATAAATCGAGCTGGTGTCATCAGTCGTTTAGGCAGTTCAATCATACGTCTCGACATAGTCATTGCTAATAATTAGCGCTGTCAATAGAGTAATCAGAGAATTAATGGGCTTGGGGATGGACTCCTATTTTTGGCTTTTGGGATAGCTTTGTCTAGCAGTGTAGTGCAGCTTCTGGTCAGATATCAGTGCAATGAAGAGACTGGCCACTAGCTGTGGAGCACTTTGCTTTACTACTGGAAATTTTGCATAGCTGGGTGATTATGGACAACAACCGTCCTTTCTGTTGCCCCTAGACGAGCAGGCAGTGGCCACATGGCCTGCACCGAGGTGAAACCTGCTGTAGAAGCACTGTTGTCATCATTAACGCATTTGATAGGGAGATAATAATGGGGAAGGCTTTCCACCCTCTTCCTGTGAGAGGATTTGCTATTATCCTCTCTTAAGAGATTATGAATGGCCCAGCCTCTTGATCCTTTAGTCAATTCTGGACCCCATGTTAAGGGGGTTTCCCAAGGGCCCAACAACAGAGGCTTCAGAAAGATGCTCTTTCTCCCCCTAGTAGAGAATGAGACTATTTTCCTTAATTGTTCCCAGTCAGTCCGTCTCATTCTTCTTGGGGGTTCTGGATCTATTCCCTGGACAACTTTTTGCCAGACTGCTGTTTCTGAGAATGCTCTGCCTTGCTTGGGCTGTAGTCTTTTATTCCAACCACTGCTAATCAGTACGTACATAGCTGCAAATCATGAAGTAGCTGCTCAACACATTAACTCCTTAGTGGCTGGGTAAGTATGGGGCTTGAACTCTGCACTCTACCCCTCGAAGAATAAGAAACTGTGGAACTTCCTGTTTTCTTCTGGGTGGTCTCCCTGGAAAGGAACCACTTTGCTAAAGAGTAGAAGGTGACCCGATTTTAAGGACTTGCCTGAGAAATATAAATTCCCAGAAGAGAGAAGGGAACAAAACTTCGGTCTCTAGTCTTGACTAGTGAGTTATCTTTTGGGGGCAGCTAACGGACAGCATGGATATTCAAATATGGCATAAGAGGGTAAAACTCCAGCAATTTTGCACATGGCTATGCTTCGTTCTGGTTCATGTTTTTTTCTTTTTTGTGCTCAACAAGAAAAGTTGAGCAAATCTCACAGGAGTGGCAGAGGCCAGCTTCATCAACTAGTGAATTTTGCTGGAAAAGGTTAGAAATGTGATTCTGTTATTTCCCAGGCAGGGATCTGTATAGTTGCATTCTCTCTTCCGTGTTCCACAGGAATTAACTCACCCTCCAACCCTGGAGTATCTCCACAGTAGAAGATGATCTTCAGTATTGTGCTCTGGCATAGCTGCATGGAGATTGATTTATGGCTGTTGAGGATAAGGTCTATGGTGCTTGGTAATCTGTGTCTGACTTGGTTTATGCATCTAATTATTGTCAAGGCTTTTGGAAGCCATCCTTGGGTCCCTTAGGTATTTCAGTGCAGTCATGAGTTTCTCCCCAGTGCAATTGTATATCTTCATGCATCGTCCCTTTTCCTCTTGCCTTTCAGTTTTCTAAGAGATCTTAAAGTTCCACTGCCAAGAAGAACAAGAAAGATGAGGCTTATTTTCCACATTCTTTGATCTCTAATAAATTGGAGCCAGTAAATTATATCTGCTAGCAATTCTTGAGTGTATCATATCTCTCAGGAAACCACGCTGAGACTTCTATAACAGTTTAAGGAGGAAAGTATGCTGAAATTAGCCTTTCATTGTCTGTATTCGATCAAGGACTGTATGCCTAAAATTTATTTATATTTTAATAAAAACAAATCAGTGACTTTTCAGATCCCAAAGCAAAAGAAAGAGATGGTACTGAATAATGACAAGAAACCACATGAGCTCTCTTTGTTACTGTGTGTGTGTGCGTGTCTGTGTTTATAGACAGGATCAGCAAACCGACAAGATGATACTGATCTGGATTAAAGTGTGAGTCTGTTAAGATAGAAACAGAAGGCCTTCTTTCAGCAAGGGGAAAAACAAAGAGAAATTCCACAAAACCTGAAACTGTGGGGAGAAGTAATCTCTCAGGATACTAACACTGTAAATAGTAGTGTCTGGTGCTTAGGTAAGATGAAAACTCCTAAGAAATACTACTGAAAGCCACATATAACAGCATCTTATTATCTTTTTACCAGTTGTTTATACTGACTTCATAGCAAAGCATGTAGAGAAGAAACAAGATTTGACCCTGGAAAGGGTGCTCTGCATGTATGTGTATGAGTACGTGTATGTGTGTAAATATGTATATATACATATATATGTATATATCTCTCTTAAGCTATCTACATGTAAATGGACAATCACATACATGTTTATGAGAGAAAGTTTGCCTTCTCACATTGCCCAAAAAGAAGTGTGCCACTATAAATGCATCTTTGAAAAACACTCAAGCAACTTTGAATGAGTGTATTGGGCCTGGATTGGTAAAAGATGCCTGAAGACAGTGACATGTATTTATAGAAGTGTTTATGTTTGGAATCCCCAAATTTTATTTTTCTGCTTATCTTGATCGTTTAAAAAAAATGACCTGCATCAGTTGGGCTGTAGAAAAGAACTGCATTTCCCCTCTGTTCCACAAAATCTACTATTGAATCCCAGGTGCGGAGGGGCAGTAGAGGAAGACTTGCACTATTCAGTACCTATGCTGGGACTAGGACTGCTGTGGGTGGGCTGGCCAACTGGCCCCTGTGAGTTCAGGGAACAGGACCCCCACGTTGGCCCTGGAGCTGAACACAAAAACGGTACTAGCAGAGCTACAACCTCTACAGGCTTTCAGTTCCATATCACCCGAATCAAGTGGCGTGGCACTTACTCTTTCTGCTTAAAGTGAGACTTGTAGCTCTGTGAGGAAGCTCTGTGTATATCTTGGCAACAGCTTAGACTTGCCCCTGAGGTCTCAATTGTACAATACCCTGTTGCTTCACATGGCGTTGTTTTTGCTTGTGTAGGAGTGTTAGGGCTTGGGTATTCTCTAGGATGTGGTCACTAGATGGCAACATGATCACACACACAGAGGCAGGTTTCCTGTT